TTAGAAAATTCTAAGATTGGAATAAACAGATCACTGGTAAAAATATGGACATTAAACACACTGCTGGTGAACAAACAGAGTGAAATTAGAAGAGCAATAGAGAAAACCGATCTCATTCTAGACAATACCTACATCATCATAAGTATAATTTTAGTAGAAATATGAGTGTTAAATCATTGTTGTTGAGGCTCAGAAGGGAATAAGGACAGAATTTTTGGAAACTGGAGGAAAGAACACCCTTGTTATCTAGTAACAGAAGACTTAACTGGATTTTGTCCTGGGATTAGGTAGAAAGCATGACTTGCAAATAATGAATTTGGATATTTACCTGAGGAATTTCCAAAGCAAAGCATTGAAGGTGCAACCTGGTTTCTTCTTGCTGCTTATAATAAAATATAAGAGGAAAGAGAAAAGTTGAAAAAAGAACTATAAAGCCCAAAGGAACCAGAACTTAATGACTTGGGAACTTCTCAGCTTATCCAGATTTCAGAACATGTTAAAATTAGGAGATTCATGGCCAGCTAAGTGTGCTTGGAAAGAAAGCCAAGGATGTGGCTGGATGACATTTGTTTAGTGCCTTCCAAGGATCAAAAGGTCAGAATGTTCAATCACATAGAAAGCCCTTAGAAGATATTAGGTGTACAAATGATGAATTTCATCAGACAGCTCAGTAGAGGCCAGGAATAGAGATGTGTTTATCCAGGGAAGATTTGTGAGGGAGCCTCTTGTCTTACGAAGTGAATTCCCCAGACACAAATGGGAGACCCACAAGGTTTTCAGAATCTTATATCAATGGAAACACTATAAGTGTGGACTCAAAGGCACAATGACAAGATAAAATAAAGGAAGGCTATCCCATCCCCAAAATCCTATAGGCAGGAAACAGGCTGATGAAACTGCTTGCCTTAAACATGTACTATCCTTTAAGACACAGGAAGGACAAATCTGAGGGCAGAGCCACAGGTCCAGAGGATGGATACTCAATTCACGAGCCTTGAATTCTAATTTGCATGCTGAATTTTTGAAATTGCTTGGGACTGGTGATTACATTTTTCCTTCTGTTTTATCCTTTTAGATCAGGGATATCTGTAACTATTGATTGTTGTCCTACACGAGTCTCACCGTTGTATCTTGGGAGCAGATAATCTGTTTGTGACTTTCACAAACCCAACAGATGGAGAGGGATTTTGTTACATGATGGATTAGACCCAGAGCCTCATCCATACCTAATTTAAATGATTTGGATGATGAGATTTGGGACTTGGGAGCTGATAAGACTTAGATGAGATTTTGGATTTGAGCTGATGCTGTAATGGGTTGAGACTTGAGGTATCTTGGGGTGAGATGAATATATTTTGCCTGTGAGATGGACGTGAATCTTTGGTGGCCAGGTGCAGCTGAATAGGGCTCCCTGAAGATGTCATACCCTATTCCTTGGAACTGGTGAACATATTACCTTACAAAGAAAAAGGGACTTTGCAGATCCAATTAAGTTAGGATCTTGAGAGAGGGAGATTATCCTAGATTATCCAGATGACCCAGATGTAAGAAGCAGGCTGTAGAGTCAGAGTGAGAGAAGGTGATATGGTGACAGAAGCAGACTGAAGTGATTTGCTTTGAATATGGATCATGAACCAGGGAATGCAAGGGACTTCTAGAAGCTGGAAGAGTTAAGGAAACATATTCTCCCCTAGAGTCTCTGGAAGGAGTGCAGCTCTGCAGATACCTTGATTTTAGCCTATAAAGCTCATTTAGGACTTCTGACCTCCAGAAATATAAGATTAATAAATTTATATTGTTTTGAGCCACTAAATTTGTGGTGATTTGTTACACCAGTAATGAAAAACTAGTACAGTATCATAATAATAACTATTGATATTGTGCTTTTTAATGTATACAGTTAGCTATGGTGATAGATATCTTTCTTCTATGCATTATTCAGATCAGATTCTTAAACAAAAAATACTAAGCAGAGGGGGACATTTCATTACAAAGAAGGGTCCTCCTTTTGCTTAATGCCTGATATGTTATGTTATAATGAAGTGAAATATATATTAACTGGACCCAAATGGACTATTTTAAAGATTTAATATTTGCTATTTATAACAGGTTTTTACAATATCTTGATCTATATCAGTTCAAACCTCTAGACAATATCATTTTGCCTCCAGAAGTCCCTTTTCCCTTGTAAATTGCAACTTTAACCTACAATTTGCAACCTACAATCTTGAGCTACTACAATAGCAGATTTGCTAACATTTTTTTCTAGAATGTCCGATATAATTGAATTTCACATGGAGATTTTTATTTGGCTTAACGAAATTGATAAAAATGTGCTAAAATAAATTCTTGAAAGAAATTTGTATATATATTTTTTGGTTGGTCTGAATCTGGGGACCATATGGCTTAATAGTGTGAGCATTCTTTTCCAAACTTTTTAGATTGCACATTCCTATCATTACATATTTTAAGCACAACCCACAGTATATGTAAATTTTTATATTTATATACTATATAAACTTACTATATTATGCATATTGTATATCATATACAAAAACAAGTTTTAAAGAACGAAACACAAAAATTGAAATGAACCTCTTTCATATTTTCTTCTTATACCCCAGCAGGTCATTTTATATATCCACAGAGATGGGCACAGCCAGTTTGGAGACTGCTGATGGCAAAGCTTGGATGGTAGAGGCAAGCAGACCTTGTTTGAGGACCAGCTCCTTCTCTCCAGTCATTGTGATCTCTGACAAATTAAATTGGTTTGCTGAGTGAATTAATTCACTTAAGCACAGCAGACAGGTGGCCTTGTTTCTGGAAACTAGAAAAAGCTTAACCAACAGTAGGGTAGTAGTTGTGGTTATTATTATAGTATATTATAGTGTTATTATGTTATATATAGCCTATGTATATTATTATAGTATATTATTATATTATTTATAATACTTGTCCAAAAAACATATCAGACCTTTTGCTTTGTGCTTCTTCTGGGTTTCAGCCTTGCTTGGAAAAAAAAAAAAGTGACATTTTGGTAAGCAAAGAGTTGTCCTTCTTGAGAAATGAACTTGTTTTTTATTTCCATGGTCTCTCTCTACCTACAATGCTTATCTCAGTGGTGTTGGTGTTCTGATCGCTCTGCCTTCCACCAGCCTTTGTGCTTTTACTGGTTTGCTCTTGTCGATTTGGTAATGTATGTTTTATGTTTGCTCATGTTCTGTCATGACAGACTTCCGGAAAACAGAAAAATATTTTCTAGTCTATGTACCTTTAGTCCCACCTCTTACATAAGCTGGAAAAGAAATGTTTTCTTAATCAAATGTTTTATTATAGAGAGCATTTCCTAAGGTGATAGGATCCCTTCGGTTCAGTGAGGGGCACAGCCTCTCATTTCCGAGAAACAGGCTTTATAGGGAAAAGGGATTCTCTTGCTTTCTTCTCCATCTCTCGCCTCCTGGGTTCTTCCCAGCAAGCATGATTAATGCACTCTGTACTTATTGATAAATATTACATTCCCTTATTTTTAATGAACCCACCCTTCTATAACAGCTTGCGATTTATTAAGTGCTTTTTCAATTGTGGGAAGAGTCCCGTAAGTTGGTTTAATTGCAGCAGAATGATTTAGCGGGAAGAGAGATGTTGGCTTCTTATTCTTGAGTCTAAGAGATTTTTATTCCTTTGTGTTTTGAAACTACCACTTCCTCCTCTGACCCCCACCCCACTGTGCACACACTCCCACTCAGGGAAGTCAGGTATAAAATTAGAAGGGAAAGAAATAATGCAAGCATGGAAAATATGAGATAACATTTCTAAAAATAAGGCTGGTAACAGAAGTAGTCCACTTTGAAACCAAGAAGAGGGTGTTAAGTCCTCTCCAGACTGCATTTCTCAATCGTTCTTCATTGGTGCTGCACTCCCATAGCAGACTAGGACCTCACATTTCTCAATAGCTTTCCTGGGTCACTTACCTAGGATTTTAGAAGATTGCCCAACATTTGATTCCAAGTTTCTTTTTATATCCCAGAGAAGGGCATGTTCCCACCACATTTCCTTCGTTGCTTATTTCCTTCTCTTCCTGTCTTGTTTACTTCTGCCCACTACGCGGGGCCAGCTTTTGGTTATGAAATTTGTAGAATGTTCTTTAGGCTTCTCCAACTTCCAGCACCTCTCTGCAGCAAGCTGATGAGATGTCTTGGAGAATTATTAAGCCCATTCTCTCTACCTCCTAACAGTGAAAACTAGAACAGGTTGGACAGAAGTTATAATTCAAACTAGAATATGGAAAAACTTGCTTAAGAACAAAAGCTGTTCAAGAATAAGATGACTGACTTGGGACAGCACACAAAATCTTATATATATATATATAATGATTATATATAATGATATATATATATAATGATTGTATATAATTGCGTATGTCATAATATGTCTTATTATGGCAGCTGGAGGGAGCTATTAAACATAGTTCACCATTCCAGCATTTAAAACCTTCCAATGAATCTCCACTTCCTGCAGAGTAGAAGGTGAAATCCAGGATGGGTCGACCTCCCCACTGCAACTCTGATTCTTTCCTGTCACTCCTTATTTCCCTGTTCTGCATGATCTTCCTTAAACACACAAGGCTCCCTCCAGCCATAGGGCCTCCTTGGAGTGTCTGTTCTTTGCCTGGATTCCTCTTTTCTCTGATACTCCTGTGATTAATTCCTTCATGTGCTTTATGTCTCTGCTCAGATATCTTTTTCTCAATAACTTCGTGGTCTTCCTAACTTTGTTGCTCTGCTTATTTATAGAAAGGGATTCAGGGAGATTAAAACCCTACACCACTGCCGTAGCATCCTTTCCAGAAACTACTGCATGTTTGCTTTTAATTCAACAAATGGAGAGAAGTTATGCTCGTATAATTTCTGTGGTTAAATCCAGGGAGCGCCTGGGTGGCTCAGTTGGTTAAGCGTCTGCCTTCGGCTCAGGTCGTGGTCCCAGGGTCCCAGGGTCCCAGGGTCCTGGGATTGAACCCCGAGTCAGGCTCCCTGCTTGCAGGGAGCCTGCTTCTCCCTCTCCCTCTGCTGGTCCCCCTGCTTGTGCTTTCTCTCTCTCTCTGTGTCAAATAAATGAAATCTTTTTTTCAAAAAAATACTCTCTTACAGCATACCCTTTTAAAGTTCTGTTTAACCTTGGGATTTTGTCACTGAATCTTTCACTTGAGAAATCTCTCCTTTTTCCTTTTAACTGGGATTCTTGGGTGTCCTTTTTGCTGCTCAGAAGCCCTGAACTATGTGTGTGTCCCTCTCTAGTCTGGCTCGTTCTGAATTATGCTTTCCTCTGTTCTCACGTCTTATCAAAATCTATTTGGTTTTGTGGGAACTTTTCCCAAAAGGCATATTCATTGGGGGGAGAGGGGGAAGCTGGAAAACCCATGTATTTCCTTAATAATCCAAAGGCATGCCTTTCAAATGGTGCGGTTCAGACATCAACTATAAGCATTTTTCTAGCTTTCTATAAGATGTGTTCTCTCCCTAGCAGCCAAGGAATAGAAACCTTCCGTCTTAGAGAATATTTCTGTCTTTAATGGCAGTCCAGGGGGAACAAAAAAGAATTTAGAGTCCATCACGATTTCTCACATAAAATTTTTATCGCTTGCAGTACATGCTGCATATAGATAGGAAAGGTCAACAAGCAAGATGGCTTTCCAGCCCTTAGCTCTTCTAAAGTAGTTACTTTTTCATCCAGTTCCTGAAAGCAAGGAACTAGAGAGTAAAAACAGTATGTGCTCCTCACAGCTGCAATGCCAAGATAGCTGCTATTTCCCAGGAAGGGATACGTCAGAAGAACTGGGACACTGATTGGAATGAAATGAGATAATCTTGATATTGATGATATCTACTTAGAGCTACATATTGCTGAATTCCTTGTCTGTTCTCTCTGCTTTTAATTAATTGAGTTAATATTTTTTCATTGCCTTTGCCAGCTCAAAAATAGAGAGGGCAGAGTTTTCTTTGACTCCTAGCATCTTTTTCCCTGTTCTTTCTGTTAAGGTTTGCATGGCCTCCGTCACACACCTATAAATGGACAAATGAAATAAAAGAGCTCATAATATTGGATTAATACCAGTGACATTTCTAAGGAGAGGCAGTATTACTTGTGGGGAGTGGTTAGAGATCATGCAACTCATAAAATTTTTTAAATTAAGCAATATCATTTGAGACTACTTTTCGAATAATAACGTAAAGCTAATAGTCGGGTGTCCTAATATCAACTGCATTGTTTTTTAAATGCATCTAATGTCAAATGTTCCTGGTGTGTTAGTTGGAAGTGAATACGCACTGCTTTCACTGTCACGGGATTCTCCAAACATTCCCTCAATATTTGTTTCACTAATATAATAAGTGTTGACGTCAATACTCTTTCCTTGCTTCCAACTGTATTCACTCCATGATGGTATCAAATAGTTTCCTGGATGAAAGAGATAATCATAAATATTTTATTATGGTAGAATCATTATGTCAAATACTTCCTGATCTTCTCTTTGAACTGTTTATTTTTTGTTCTTAATGGGACACGGTTTGAATGACAGTTTTGGATGTTGACATAATACGTGTTATTTGGAATATTTTACGTGTGAATTTAACTATACTTTGACTTTTGACTTTGACATACTTAACCACACACACACTATGTGTATATATATATGCAACATATATATATATATGTTGCATCAGAGTATATTACTTCTGTTACATAGCAAATATTCACCTGTATTAAAGCTATGAATTTCACTTTCATTCTGCATCTACCCTAATGTCCATTGAGCTGACAATTATTTTATAAGTACTATATGCAAAGGTCTGTGCTAGCTGAAAAGACCCCTACCTCCAGAGGCTTATCATTCAGACAAGATATCTTATTCCAAGAAATTCTGAGTTCAGTTTTTGTAGAAAAAAGTCTTCCAATATCTTGGGATCTTTTCAGCATAGTGAATATACTAGCTTTAACTTTTTAAAAGTCAGTTTGCAATGATTTATAATGATTTGGGGAGAAACAACTTAAAATGCAAATATTAAACACTAGTCAGCATTTATCTCAAATTAATTCTACCATTAGACTCCAACATGAAAATCCAAGCAGCCAAAGTGGATTAAAAATGCTTGTAAAATATTCATCACATAGTTTAGCAAAACTTCCAAATTTATTTTGTAATGCCTCCTTTATTTTCTAGTAACACAATAAGCAGAATTGAGAGCTTTATTTGAAAGGTGGTACCGTCTTAAAATCATAGTAGTGACTTATTCTGTGGTTACCACAGTTCAAAAACATCCACAGGTCCAAGAAGTAAATTGGATTTGTGTATTTTATCTGGTTTTAACTTTGTTGATATAAACTTTCAAATTTGATAATTTCATTCAATTACTACATTGACAGAAACTCTGCTTGTTAGCAACTGTATCTAAATTAGTGACGTCCTGTTTGACAGAAAACTGGGCTTTTTTATGGTTCAAAAGCAAAATATAAGTATTTAGAGGTTATGCTCCCAGGGATTCTGAGATATCAGTACTAGATGTAGTTGTATGTCAAAGATCCCAGCTCCAATCCACAAAGCTCCAGGGCCCCACAAAGCAACTTTAGAGGTTCTTTAAATAACAAGTGCTAAATCCTACTTTCATAATACTGGCAAGAATTGAAGCTCATGAAAAATAAATTGTAAATCTGGTGTGCTTGTCCACTAGCATTTCTCTCTGCCCTTCTGGATTGATTCTCAGCCTTGCTTTCCATGCAGGGAGCTTCACTATAGGATCTGCAAAGTCTGGGATCTTTCCCTCTGGCCTCTGGCTGTGCTCTCCCCATGAGAGTTATCAGTGGAGGCACAGAGAGTGGTTATGGGCCCTCTGCTAATTTCTTGTGGGTTTGTCCCTCTTCCCCTATGGCTTTTGAGGGTGACCCATCGTCAACATCTGCAACTCTCTCTGGGTTCTAGGAACCCAACTTTCTCCTTCTCCTCTCCAGGCTTAGAGGGTTTATGTCTGGACTGGTGAGCCTCACTAGGCACTTCCAGGCACTTTGCCTTCCCTCTATGATTCTGTTAATCTGCCTACCTCAGCCAATATTCCCTCCACTGAACTCTCTCCCATTAACCCTTTGAGTTAATTGAGTGTGTTTTTGGTTCCCTGCCAGAGCTTTGCTCTTACGCCTGGTTTGGTCTTCTTCCTTGCCATGACTCTATCGATCGGTCCCTCTACTCAGCACCATTCCTTCTCATCAATAGTATGGTAACCACCACCACCACAGGAAAATATCAATAGCTTACTACAGGCCAGATTGAATGCTCAACACATGCTTGAAACTCCACCAGGTGCTTTATCTGTATTATTACCTCAATTGTAGACTCACAATCATCCATGAAGGAGCTGCAATTATTATTTCCATTTTGCAGATGGTGTTAGTAACCTGGCTGAGGTCTCTCATCCACAAAGTTGTGAAGCAGAACTTCAACGCAGGAGCATTCAGTAGGGAAGCCCTACTTTAAACCACTTGACTTTATTTCTTTACTATGCATAGGGGCCTAAAGAGTTAGTATGAGTGCCCAAACAAGGAGCTTTTTATCTTAAAATACCTAAATATTTCCTTTACCTTATCTGAGTCTGAGGTTCCTACCTTGAAAGGCTAGACATCAAGGACTATAATATTCTATCCAAAACACTAATATTGAAAGAAGCAGTATGCCTACCATGCTCGAGATGTGTTGTCCATTGGTGGTTAGTAACTTGGAAGCACAGAGTGACCCATGTAAGGTCTGAAGATACATGCCATTAAGCAGATGGGATGCCTTAGGAAACGAGTATCTCTCACATAAACACTGGTGGCCGCAAGAAGACTCAGACCCAAATTGCCACAGGGGCTAGGTGGAAAGAGGGAAGACGGGTCAACAGAGGATCCACCAATGGTAAATCTTCAGGATTTGGTAGCTTGGTTCTGAAGATGCACATCACCTGTTTCACATGCTTCACAAAGGCCTGGCTTTCTACTTCAAGTATCCGTTTTATCTTCCCAAATATTATTCACAACAGTATTTTAAGCTTAATGAAATGTCACAACACTACACCCCCTAGAGTAATGGTCTTGTGAGATTTGGATTACCATCCTCAAAAATAACTCTCAGCTTAAGGGTTTTAGAAGATACAACCAAACTAACCAATCCACTACTTGGGTTATATTTACTAACATCTTTTTAAGGGGCACCTTACAATTCTCCAGTTTGAATGTAAACTTTTCTTATTCATTTCATGCTTTCAATTTCCATATATTTTTCTATTTTTTTTTTTCTTTTCCTAGTTCACTTATTCTCTCCTCTTTAGGATTTTCCTTCCTGAAACTTCATCTATTATCATCAGTTTTAGGAATCAGGGCTCCTGGGCGCCTGGGTGGCTCAGTTGGTTAAGCGACTGCCTTCGGCTCAGGTCATGATCCCGGAGTCCCGGGATCGAGTCTCGCATCGGGCTCCCTGCTGAGCAGGGAGCCTGCTTCTCCCTCTGACCCTCCCCCCTCTCATGTGCTCTCTGTCTCTCTCATTCTCTCTGTCTCAAATAAATAAAATCTTTAAAAAAAAAAAAGGAATCAGGGCTCCTACCTGTTGAACTCTTCACCTGTGACAAGAATAATCAGGCAGTGAGCACCTGGAAGTCAGGTACTCCCAGGTGAGTAATGCTATCCCTTATTGTGCTCCGAGGCTTTCATGTCCTCCTTTCCTCTCCGGAAACAATGTCTTTCATTCAATTTTAAAAGTCAACAGATTAGAAGGGAGTCAGACAAAAGCAAAGCTGTGCAATTGTCCTGTTCTAACTAAGGTTTTATGCTGAAGCCTTTGTACCCCTTAGACAAAAGTGCATTTAGTGTTTGGAAAACACAAAGTGTCCCTACTAATATCATCTCCAACTGATGTAAACAGACATCGTTCCCCCACAGTGCTGCCTTTAAACTAAATATTAGCATGCTGTATGTAAGGATTTTTTTTTTTTTTTTTTACCGTTACTATTTAGAACAAAAAACAAAGAGCTGCCTAGATAGTCAGAAAACAGTGGGGCATCTGTTGTTACCAGGTAACCATCTCTTCGATCACTTGGAAAGAAAAACGCCCATGATAATTTTTAGCACATGTTGTCCTAAACATTCAAATGAATAAAAAGCTAGGAGTACTGAGTGTGGAGGAAAGTGGAATGGGAAGATAGACCAGAATGGGGGGTCACAATGACGACTTTAGCACCATGTTTTGTGGATAAAATGCTGAGAGGATCTGGAGGGAAGGACATAATTGGCAGCTAAGGAAGAGGAGGGGAAAAGCAAGATCCTGTAACAAATCTTTGTCCTGAATAGTCCCAGCGGCCACCCCATTCTCATTTACCCTCAGGTAAAAACATGGGGGAAAATGCAGACTAATAGACCACTCATCTAAGCTTCAAATTTCATGTAACAGTGTTATTTTACGATATTACCTGTCTTTTCATTTATTGAAGAGGCCAAACATTCTGCTAAATAGTCTCTCCCTGGAATTTTAGAGTTTGGATGTTTGTCCTGGAAGCTCTAAACATAGAGCCTGATTAAAGTGAAAAAAAAAAAAAATCTGAACAGACATTACCCAAATTTTGACTTTTATGTCTTATACAGATAGTTCCATTTTAATCCATTCCATTCAAATGCTGAAGAATTTGAAAAGATTTTATTTTCTTTGTTGGCCCAAGAGGACTACAATTTTCATTGTCTATATTAGATGACATTAGAAATAGTCGCAAGAAATAAAATGTGTTTAAATTTATTTTTAAAAGGCACTTACACTTCCAGAATTACTTCCAAAATTACATCAGGCTTCCTTCATTTAGCATTCTAAAAGATAGAACGATATTTTAATTTGTGATCTGTGACTACCAGAGCCTTTTAAAAACCAAATACAAGTCATGCCCACATTTTTATCAACATGTCTCTTCATTTCAACAATCACTGATTTTTCTAACCTTAAAATTTCCCAGCACATCCATAAAATACACTCTCTCTGGCATGAGTCATGTTATTACTGTGATTCAGGAAGTTCATTGCAGGCTAGCTAACGACACCCAACTTATAAAACGAGATGATATGCAACTTAAACAATTGGTGTTAGGAAAAGAGGACATGATAAGTTTGTCATATGTAAACAGTAGTCTCAAAATAGAGGTGACCAATATTTGAAGAGAGTGATCATTCTGAGAACTATAAAGATGGATGAGAACTAAAACCTTTTCGTCCATCCTTTGGACAATCATTTCCTAAATCCTTGAGAAAATTAGATGTTGAATGCTAAGAGATTGATGCTTTATAAGAATACACAACTTTGGATTGGGAAGTGATCTTAGAATTTTTTTTGCATGGAGTCTGTAACTGTCCTGTGCTTTTAAAAATTCAGCTACTAAAAGCTGGGGCGCCTGGGTGGCTCAGGTGGCTAAGCGTCTGCCTTCGGCTCAGGTCATGATCACAGGGTCCTCGGATCGAGCCCTGCGTCGGGCTCCCAGTTCAGCATGGAGTCTCCTTGTCCCTCTCTCTCTGCCCTTCCCTGCTGCTTGTGCTTTCTTCCTCTCTCTCTCTTTCAAATAAATAAATAAAATCTTGAAAAAAAAAAATTCAGCTACTAAAAACAATGCCTGCTGCCAGGATTTTTCCTGTTATCTCCTGGTTATTTATCTACCTAATCCCACATGCCTTTGTTTCCCTGATTCTAACATTGTGAAGAGAGAACACTCTCTGGGATCTCTTTTATTTTTTATTATTATTTTTTTAAAGATTTATTTATTTGTATTTGAGAGAGAGAGAGAATGGTGGGAGGGGCACAGGAAGAGGGAGAGAGAGAATCTCAAACGGCCTCCCTGTGGAACCCTACTCAGGGCTCAATCTCACGATTGGTCCTGGAGATCAGGACCAGAGCTGAAATCAGGAGTCAGACGCTTAACTGACTGAGCCACTCAGGTGCCCCTGGGATCTCTTTTATAAGGGCACCAATCTCATTCATGAGAGCTCCAGCCTCATTGCCTAATAGTTTCCCAAAGTCACCTCCTCCTAATACCAGCACATTGGAGGTTAGGATTCCAACATATGGATTTTGGGGGGATGCATTTCAGTCCTTAATATATCCAAAGCATTGCCTCCCAAATGCCAATTCCTATATCTCTGCTGTCCTGAAGGACTAGTGTCCTTCTAAGATGAGGGAGTTAAAACACAGGCAGACACAGAGGAAAGACCATGTGAAGACAGAGGGAGAAGCTAAGGAGAGAGGACTCAGAGCAAACAGTCCTGCCAACATCCTCATCTTGAATTTCCAGCATCCAGAACTGTGAAGAAATACATTTCTGTTGTTTAAGCCACCTAGGCTGTGGCCCTTTGTTATGGCAGCCCTAGCAAACTATTATCATTCCTACTTCTAAACCTCTTGCAATGTTATAGCAGTTTTCAAAACTGGATACATAACTTCTTTAAAGTGATACACATATGTGTGTACATTCTCAGAATCTTGATGTTTTTCTAATAACAGTGTGGCATCAAAAAAGTGACACACATGTTTGTTTTCCTTGTCATGCAAACATGTATTTTATTCTCTTAAGCATACTGTAAAAACCAACATACTACTGATATTTATAGTGGAAGTGTATGGAATCTATAGGTCAAACCTGGTGGAAGAAACATCGTTAGAATATGGATATTTTCTATCAGTGAAGTTTTCTCCTTTTACTTTGGTCCATTTTAATATCTGTTGCTTTGCTGAATTACATCTTTTATTGTTTTCTCTGTTTATCTTAGGTGTATAGAATTAAATTGATTTCTCTATTTGATTGTATATAAAATGAAATATACTTAAGTCTCTTCCCATAATTTCCCTACATGTTTTTTTTTTTTTCTTTATAGCAATGACAGCATCTACTAATGTGGCAAATTTATCTTATTCACTTCCATTTTTATACTGTTTATGTTGTTTTTGTTTTCTTAAGGGTCTAAGTTAGAACCCCAACTAGAATGTTAAATACAAATGGTAATGTTATACATGCTTGTTCTGTTGCACATTAAAATAGAAACATTTTTAAATGTTTCATTAGTAAGCTCTGTATTTCTTATTGATTTGTTAATGTCTGATGTTTAAGATGACAACTTCTATTCCTAGTTTGAGATCATAATTTCAAAAGCATATTTTCTAATGCAAATCATCCACTTATTCTTGGGATAAACCCGAATTGGTCTTGATATATTAGCTTTTTCATTTAATGTTACATTATGTATGTTAATTTTTTTAATTTTTGAATTTATGTTTATATAGATGAATGACCTATCTGCCAGATATATGTATGTTTCTCTTCTTGTTTTGCTTATGTACAATTTAATGCAAAATAATTTACATTTTATAATTATAAATCTATTAATAGGTTCCTCTTTGAGATCTATTTTCAACGTTATACTTATAATAAAGTCCTCAAATCTAGGATCATGCTTCCTAATATGTTATTTTTAAATACTTTGATGGTTTCATGTTTCTTCTCAAGATTTAGATCTGTGTTATGTATATTAGTCTTTAATAAGATATGATTATTGGATAGCCTCTCTATTCCCATCAAAGTGCAAGCCATATGATTATTTCTCCTTATATATCTGGGTGTATTAGTTACCTATTACTGGATAATAAATTACTCCAACAGTTAGTCACTTAAAACAACAATAAATCTCTGCTATCCCAGAATTTCTATTGTTCAAGAATTTGAGTGCAGCTGAACTGAGTGATTCTGGCTTGGAATCTTTAAAGAGGTTATAGTCAATATGTTATCAGACCTCAGTCATTTCAAGGCTTGAACTGAGGTTAGAAGATTTACTTCAAGATGGCTCACACAAATTGCCTGCAAGTTGTTTCTGACTATTGGCAAGAAGTCTTAGTTCTTTGTCACACGGACTTTTTCTTTGGGGTTTCTTGGATGTCCTCAGAACATAGTAGTTGGCTTCTCCCAAAGCAAGTGATGCAAAAGGGATTAAGACAAAAGCCACATTGTCTTTCATAGCCTAACATCAAAAGCCACACATATTCATTTCTACAATATCTTATTTTTGCACAGGTCGGTACTATTCAATGTTTGAAGGGAAGAATGAGGACATGAATGAATTATCAGGAGACAACAAGTATCTGGAGGCTATCTTGGAGGCTGGCTACCATGTCGGATCTATTAATGAACTATCCATTCTTTACCATTAAACTGAATATCCCTTTGGGTTCCAAATATACATTAGTTTATTAATGTATATTATACATTGTATATTAATGTATATTATACAATGTATATTAAATACATTAATAATACTATATATTAATGTAATTAATAGGATAATGTATCTCAAGTTATTCCTCTGTTGTATTTTTTCAAATTTTTATTTTCATAGGCGAATTTCAGAATTATTCTCTCAATTTGAAAACACATGAGGAGAAGTTTTTATTAAGGCATAATTTACATATAATAAAATTCACATTATCTCAAGTAGGTGAGATTATTTAGTGGTGTTGCTCTGATGTATATTCAAATATAGAGCACTATTTTCCAATCTATAATTAGAGTATACCTATCTTTTTTTTATTGTTTTCTATCTTGTTTCTCAGTAGATTTTTTTTCATTTGTTAAATGAACATTTGTTATATTTATTCCTAGGTATTTTATACCTTGCTCCCATTGTGAATGAGATTTTTGTTCCCATT